ATTATTTGATAGAATAGAAAATTTACAAAGCCAGAAATTGGTTTTGCAAGTAAATATCATGATGGAACAAGCATCCATAAGAACATAGAGACTCTGCGGAATCAACAGAGCAGGATGCAAGGGAATTTTCGTAACGATTTCGTTCCGCGATTTTTACTCTCCTAAACGACGCATTACGTGCGGTTCGCGTACGACATACTACTCGAGTACGAGTTGTAATTCGTTCTCTTTCAATTTTATGAATCATCGTCGTTTCCTGCCCCGCGTACTACGACGACATAATGTGCCGCTCGGTACAACGAACGCATTATGACATATCGTTCCTCTTGCAGACCGGTCGAATCTAGAAATTCCGACGTTTCGAGAAGCACTTCTATTTTATTAAATTTTACTAATCTTTTACAACGCGAGACAAGTCGTGACCCCAAAAATGTTATGTCTGGTGATAAACCTAATCTACAAATCTAATCTAATCACGTAAAAATAACTGAAGTATTTTCATTTTCTATACAATTTTACTGATCTTTCGCAGCACAAGACAAACCAAAAATACGTCTCGAAAATATTATGTCTGATGATAAAAGTATAAATCTAATCTAATCGAACGACAAGTAAAGCGGTTGACGAATGCACAGAAGTCAATCTAAACATTTCCAGGAATTTAATTTGTTGAGAATTTGAAAATCCAATAACAGATATTCACACTGATATCTACAGCTTGGTGATATATTAAAGTATATGGATTTAGTTCGTTATTTACAGTTGCGACATATTAAAAAAAAACTGCAGCATTTAAGTAAATTATATTTATACGCCCACGCTATTACTTTGACAAGTCCTTCATTCCTCATGAACAATTTTGTATTTTTTCACATAACTTCTTTTATTGTGCTTACTATTTTCATTTTTCCCAATATCACTGAGAAAAAATAAGCGAAATAAACTTTATATTTGACAAATTAATTTCCAAATATTTTTTTCAGTGTAGTTTTCCATGCAAGCAATAGTTTATTCTATTTAAATAAAAATATTTAAATTTAAGCAAATATATAATTATTAGTACTTATCGTTTTTATTTTTTAGATATTTCTTCTCAGTGTATGTGTTCTTGCTCATATTATGTATAGAAAAATATCTTTCTATTATTCAAGAAAGCGATAGCTCCGTTTACTTTCTTTTTAAGTAACAGTTATCTTTAATACAAACAATATTTTCTTGATAATAATAATCTTCAAATCACTCATGATAAATTTGAGAAAAACTCATTATTATATATCGAAAAAAAAAGGAAAATTTATTCTCTTTATGAGAAGGAGAATTTATTTTCTTTATGTGAATATCACTTCAACGAAGATATCGGTTCGAGTTTATGCAGTGAGCAAACCGAATTTTTGTTTTAATTTAATATTTTTTATTAAAATGCTAGATTCGAAGTACATTTTTAATAAATAATAAATTTAATAAATTTGATGTTTATAATAAACTCGTGGCAGAGATTTGTGGATGTATAAATTCATGAAATAACTGAAGCAAGTAACATTTGCTTGAATACAGTATGTATTTTTTTTGAGTGCTCAAAGTACTGCGATTGACCCGGTGGGGTCGCGGCGATTTTCTTCCGTACTTTGTGATTTCCAATTTCTCGGTAACGTATTATCGGTGCATTTCTTGCGCGTACAGACCGGCGAGAACCTGCTCGTCCGCTCTCGATGCATCGTATGTGTCTCACTAGCCGCTCGTACGTATTATCGGGCACAAACTGCGGGCTCTCTCTTATCGTCTCCACGGATTCACACGTACCCACGATTCGCTGATGTGATATCTGGCTCTTTGACCGAATCGCCGAATCATTAAAGACCGATTAATCGCGGCAGTCTGAGCAGCAGACGCAAATCGAGATACAAAGAAGACGTTTCGTGACAATTGCCGTTTTCTCTCAAATTTCGCCATCGTGATGATCTCTAGATTGGGATATTTCAGATGCGATGACAGCGTGAAATGGCATGATATTTACGAGATTCGGCCGCAAAAGTAGCAGTAATTTGCGTTAATTTTGTCTTTTTTCGTTTAACGAAATCCACCGAATCTATTCCGAATTTATCAGCGCCCGTTCTCCTTAATGAAGAGCGCTATTAATGAGGAGTGGCAGATAAAGAGATGAACACACACCGTGTGTTCACCGATCCTTAAAACTTCCGACAATGTCGAGAATGATGGATTAAGATGATAGATTAGATAAGGTGGAGCGAGATCGATCGTAATTCCGAGCTTCCACGAATTCGAGACGAAATACTCAGAAAGAAGTGGATCACGTAACCGTAATTCCGAATAAAAGGATATAAAATTTGATGTTTTTGTAAATCCCTCTCGCGAGGCTCCCGATTGAAAAGAGATTAAATACAATATCGAACTTATGATGTCATCACGAAAGTAAACAGAGAAGGGAGATAAAAGCAGACCGTATCACCTGTTTTCCCCGGGGGAAAAAGAAATGCAGGCTGTCGACTCTTATCTCGAGTAAAAATGTCGGCAACGAATTAATAAATCGTCAGAGGGAAGCTCGCGCTCGCTCGCCGATGCAATTAGCAGATATAGGTATTTGTTGTCTCGAAGAATCAGGCAATTAGACCGATGGTTATCCGATTATATCGATTCGCATCAATTTCCGTGGATCTCTCTCATTATATCGTCGCGCTGATACATTCATGTACGAAGCTCCGGATTAGGTCTTACGTAACGCGTTTTGTTAGATAACGTGACGCTCGTGCGCACTCGTCGATCGATAATACCCAAAGGACGACGTAGTTCTCCGCGTCGCGAGCGGATCTCGCGCTCTTATGTCGGAAGCCCAGGAGAGGGAGAGAGAGAGAGGGAGAGAGAGAGGGAGAGAGAGAGAGAGAG